TAGCAGTACCAACAATAGCAGCAAAAGCAATAGCAGTAGCAGCAGTAGCAGAAATAGCAGCAGCAGGAGAAGAAGAAGAAAACGCAGAAAATCAAGAAGACGACAGATGTGGCCAGCTTCCTAATATTTAGTGAATTATTATTTGGGATAGCAACTCTGAGGTCCAGTTGCATTCTCGGAAGAAAAAAGTAAGACTCCACCACGTTCAACCAACAGACTCCAGTTATATTTAAGGTCTGGTTTGTGTGTGTGTGCGTGCACTTATTTGGGTAGCTAAGATTTTGGTATGTGCGCCAGATAGCTGGCTTAAAGTGTCTACCTTAATTGATAGCTGATGCCCAATCATCGGACACGTTTTACAGTGCCCAGCAAAGACAGTACATGCCGGCTTTTGAGTCTTTGGGTAACACAGAATATCAGCTTTATGTACTGAATAAAGAACATATACACTTTGTCTGGCGTGCAGTTGAAAGTTTCTTTTTCACTTTCTGCATTTAATGTTAATTATGTAGTAAGTATTTATCTAGAAAACGGCGACTTTTTGTGTTATGATTGTTGCTATCCTTACCTTTTAATGAGTTATTTTTGTTTTTTTCTTGTTCACCGATTTTGCCCAGCCAAGAAAACAAGTTACCAGAGCATTTTAGGTTAAACTGAAAATATTTGACGATAAACAGGATACAGTAGGAAATTCCCTCTTCTTCTTCTTTTTCTTTATCTTCTTCTTCTTCTTCTTCTTCTTCTTCTTCTTCTTCTTCTTCTTCTTCTTCTTCTTCTTCTTCTTCTTCTTCTTTTTCTTCTTCTTCTTCTTCTTCTTCTTCTTCTTCTTCTTCTTCTTCTTCTTCTTCTTCTTCTTCTTCTTCTTCTTCTTCTTCTTCTTCTTCTTCTTCTTCTTCTTCTTCTTCTTCTTCTTCTTCTTCTTCTTCTTCTTCTTCTTCTTCTTCTTCTTCTTCTTCTTCTTCTTCTTCTTCATCTTCTTCTTCTTCTTCTTCTTCTTCTTCTTCTTCTTCTTCTTCTTCTTCTTCTTCTTCTTCTTCTTCTTCTTCTTCTTCTTCTTCTTCTTCTTCTTCTTCTTCTTCTTCTTCTTCTTCTTCTTCTTCTTCTTCTTCTTCTTCTTCTTCTTCTTCTTCTTCTTCTTCTTCTTCTTCTTCTTCTTCTTCTTCTTCTTCTTCTTCTTCTTCTTCTTCTTCTTCTTCTTCTTCTTCTTCTTCTTCTTCTTCTTCTTCTTCTTCTTCTTCTTCTTCTTCTTTTTCGTCTTCTTTCTCTTCTTCTTCTTGCCATTCTTCTTCACTTCTGCACCAAACCATACGAGAAGAAGCTTGAACAGAGCCGACAGTATGAATGCTGTTCTGACTAGGTTAGCAGGCAATGATGTATCTCTGATGCTAACACGAACTGCTGACCTGAGAGTAAAGCTTGATCAAGTACGCCTATGCTGTCTTTGAGGCTAAGTCATGAGACACTTTCACTATGTTCTGATACGAGCAATCACTAGATGTATCGTGGAGTGGTCGCTTCATCGGATGACTGAGCACGCACAGGACGCCAACTGAGATCTGACCTCTTCTGGGTAAAGATTCAAGCATTCACGACAAGCCCATATTTGCTCCCTCATCAGTAAACTGAGGAGAGTCTTCATGCTGACGGTACAGGTGGTCGTCTGGTTAAAATCGTCTTGCGTTCCCGCACAACCCCCCGAGTGATGTATGAGTCCGCTGACACCACCCGTGATATCATTATCTTTATGTAGTAATAGTAAAAGTAAAAGACCCTTGTTCCACGCCGTTAGGCGTTTAGGGCATATAGGGCTAGACCTATATTTGTATAGACCAATCGGCACGAGATGGATGATGTGGTCAACATCACGCCAGCATTATCTTTATTTACGGATTTTCATATCTTCCATTTTACCTGCTGCCTCGCCCCACGGGCGAGAGATAACCTATTTCTTGTGTGCTTACAGTACACACGCAAGTATAACCAGTCTAGCTAACCTATCTGCCTGCTCGTTCCCAAACACTCCCAGGTGACCTGGGCAAATATCAACGTAACATGCAAGTGTGTCCCTGGATTGTTAACTTGATGTCAGCGTTCCTGTTTGAACGCAATTTAGCAATGCACTTGGGTTTCCTGAACTTCTTCTTTTTATAGTCCTATCGTGTGGTGTTGGTGCTCATGTCTATCCACAACCTTCTGCCTATTGTACTTTGATACAGATGATCCTCCATACCATGATGTCAGACCAAAGAATGTAGATTGTCTCTTTCTGATGTGGGCAATCAGTTCCCTTTGTGAGTCAGTTTCTTTCAAGACTTCTTCACAACCCACTATCTCATCTCAGCGATTTTAGTAACATAACGTAATAGGACTCTATATATTCCGTTCATAACCCAGATGGACTGAACAGATTATCATTGTATGGATTGCTAATACTATTCCTTGTTCTCTTAGAACACACACACACACACACACACACACAACACACACACACACACACACACACAGACACACACACACACACACACACACACACACACACACACACAAGCATCAGACAGTGACAACATGTTTTTATTGAATTGATTTAAAAAACACAAACAAATATGTCTCTGCAATCTTTGCTGCACGCCTTGCCTCAACATAGTATATGGGTTAAGTTAGCTGTGCATCCTTTACAGGACGTTGAAGAACCAACCTCAACATAGTATATGGGTTAAGTTAGTTGTGTATCCTTTACAGGACGTTGCAGAACCAACCTCAACATTGTTTGGCTGTTCGTGATTTCGCTAGGCAATTTTACGTTCAGTAGTTTGTCATTGCTGCCCACGAGTGACTGTCAATAACACTCTCGAAATCAACGCAGTGCGGTCTGATGCCAAATCTCTACAGCTAGGATCGAACTAGGCATTCCAGAATTACAAAATGGGTTAGCGACGCCTTAGCAACAGGCGCCAACATTATTTGAGCAGCCACTATATTATACAAGACAACTCTGCTGGAATTTAATCTCAACTCATCTCAACTCATACAAAGCATACATTTACGTGCCCTGTTATTCAAGGCACAGTGTAATTGGAGCGTTTACGGATTAAAGTGACGTTGGTAAACTGAGATTTATAATAAGGAATAAAAACAAATTTTCATCTTTTCTGGAGTGAATCTTTTCATCGCTGGCATAATGAGGGCTAAAAGACTGAAATGCCTGGGGCATACTGAGAGAATGTCTGATGACAGAGAAGTAGAAACTGTATAAACACAGGTTCTAAATGGTCGTTGACCACGAGGTAGACTAAGGAGACGATAGATAGATAATATCCAGGAAAAAATACAATCAGTTGGTGTCACCAACTTGAAAAAGAAGGCCTGCCAGAAAGATGAATGGAGGCGGGGGATATTTGCAGCAGTGAATTTCAAGAGCTTTGAATGCTAAAGTAGAAGAAGAAGACGTCATTTTCCCCTAGATGTGTTATTGTTAACTAAGTTCCCCCTGGATTGTGTGGGTGTATATATGTGCGTGTGTGTGTGTGTGTGTTTTCAGCCTGGACACAGCCAGTATCCATTTAGAAATCATCAAGTATCTTCTCTTAAGTTGGTGGAAAATAATAGGTCGGCGCTCCCATACTCGTCGGTTCTGTGGCTACGTCGATGCGAACGCTTCGTAATGCCGGGGTGCCGGATTCGATCCCAGCTGCAGGCCATGTGCCTTGCGTTGGTTTCGACAGTGGTATCAGGGAGCCGACCGCCCAGGAAGCAATGGCAAAACTACTGGACGTAAATTTGCCTAGAGAAACCACACAACAACCAGGGGCTGCTGGGGTTGGTTTTGCAACGTCCTGTAAAGGATACGCAACTAACTCCCATACTCACGTTGCTTGTCCGTATCGCGGTACAGTAATTTTGGAGCCAGTGGCAGTAGAATTACCAAACCGAGAAGGCGTAAAATTTAACTTGTAAAATTTCTGTCAACTGTTGGCTGTTCTCAAGTTAAGTCCACAACTAACTCCTATGGCTTCCAAACACGTGAGAATAGACGTGGGGCAGGAAGATGAGGGGCTCTCCCAAACAGGTACTTCCCACTTCTACTACATTTTTCTTCTTCTTCTTAAAGTCCATGCCGTATGGCGTTGGTGGTCATATCTATACACAACCTTCTGTCTCGTGTACTCTGACACATGTGATCTTCCATGCCATGATGTTAGACTGTCCAGCATCTTTTTACTCGGTCTCCCTCTGCCTCTCCTCCCCTTCAACTTTCCTACTGTCACGATTTACTCCAGTTGTCTCCTTCTCATCACATGACCAAAGAATGTAGATTGTCTCTTTCTGATGTGGGCTATCAGTTCTCTTTAGGAGTCAGTTTCTTTCGGGACATCTTCATTGCTCTCTTTATCTGTCCAGTGTATTTTCATAATTTCTCTATAAAACCACATCTCTGCGGCTACCAAATAATTATTCAGTAACCCACCAACTGTCCATAATTTACTTCCGGGTGTCAAGAAAGGATTCATACAGCTTTAGAGAATTCTCTTTCTCGCCTCAGTTGTCAACGACGGATTGCATAACATCTTTATTTTGTAAAATACTGCCTTTACTTGAGCTATTCTACACTTAGCTTCTTTAATACATCTTAATCTGATTTTATCAGGGGCTGTTGGGGTTGGTTCTGCAACGTCCTGTAAAGGATACGCAACTAATATTTTAACTACACTACTTACCCTCAACCCCCACCCCCACAAGGATTACATTGTGAGGCAGCTGCACAATGGTATTGAATCCCCTTATCACACCATATACATTCTGCCACTCTATATTAGGTATCTTCCAACACCTGCACATTTTGTGAATAAATTCTCTAAAATTTCGGAAGTAACTTAAACATTACAAAATTGTATTAAGACATCCGTTGCTGTTTTAATCCATATATTTAAAACATAAATACAGTCCACTAATACATCAAACAGTCTTTCTGTACTGGTTATGAAAGAAGAATGGAATAAAGTTTATAAATTCCATTTCGACACCACCGTATTCCTAAATTTATTATTATATTTAAAATAAATAAAAGTATTGATTGTTGCGTTAAAAATCTCTAAATGTTTTCTAAAAAAGTTGATCACCAAATAGAAATTATGGTATCTTCTACCAATTCTAAATTCTGCTTCGGTGACGTTAGCAACACTGATTAGGATTTTCGGCGTATTACAAATAATATATACCACAGAAATTACTATAACCTGGTTAATCACACGACGTTCTTTTCCAGAAAGTCTGTCTGAGTCTGAAGCATTCTCTTTGAAACTGATTGATGTTTCTTTGTTACAAGTCTGTATTTTTGAAGTTTGTCTGAATCTAGACGAGGCTTGAAGACTGTTGGCCATAAGTACTATGCAGAAAACTACAATTACCTGTGTTGAAACAGGTAAGAGTAAATCAATGATCACAAAGATAACATTTTTGATCGCTTCTCTATGCCGTGGCAGCCACAGCGATGTTCGATATCTCTTTGTCGTGTTATCAAAACCAGTGACCATTCCCATGTTGGCAAGAATTGGAGTGTAGATAGCCACAGCAAAAATTGCAAATCCAGCCATGAAGTATACAGTTCTCAATACAGTAAACGTATTCTTGAACTGTAGAGGTTTGACCACACACATACAGCGGGCAACGGCAATAAACGTCGTGGCAAGTACATTGGTTACAATCAGCAAGATCATGATGTTAGCCACAAGAACGCTTAAACCGTACGGATCGACAGCATACCGTGTTAGCGTTAACACTTCCACAGTCCCAAGAGCTGAAGCTAAGCCAAGACAGAACGAAGCAATGACATACATCAGATCGAAGAAGGATAAAGCCAGAAAAGATACAGTAACACCATCGTTGAGTCCCATAGCCACGAAAGTTATGATGTTGATCATGTTTGAAGCTATTCCCAATAAAGAAAGGATTATCCATGATACAGAGCATACTATTACTACTATAATATACTGGTAGTTAGAGACAATGTCCAAAAGCACAGTCGTATAGACTGTATTATTATTCATAATAGTATTTCAACAGCAGCCCAGTAACTGGTTGATAAATCTTTGAAATAAATATCTAGCCTACTGGCTGGCATTAGTGTGATTTTTATCGGGAATACCTCAAATGAGTGATTTTGCGTATCTTTATTCGTATTTTTCCTATTGCATTTTCATGTAATGTGGTGGTAAAGGCTCTTGAGCCGCAACATTCATTTGTCATTTGTGTTTATGGTAATGTGAAGCTGACCGATTCTACTTTCGTTCACTTAATAATTTTTCAAATAAATATTGAAGATTTTCGTTTACCTTAAAAGGCGTCGTGGCTGTGAGAGTTCAGTACCCAGTATTTCACGATTGACCGTTCTCCTTACAGGCTTTGTTTTCTTAACTTACTATGTTTTATTCATTTTTTCCCCCACTTTAACCTTATTTCCACTTGTTGCAGTTATTGTGCTATACTTGATTTTTACAGATGTTGAACCTAATACAGATGTTACACTTAGTTCCACTTGTTGGCGTTACAATGAAATCAATTGTTGGACTGAATTCCACTTGTTACAATTGTTAAACTCAATTCCACTTGTTACAGTAGTTTCAGTCAATTCCACTTGTTACAATTGTTAAACTCAATTCCACTTGTTACAGTAGTTTCAGTCAATTCCACTTGTTACAATTGTTAAACTCAATTCCACTTGCCCCAACTGATAGGCTCAGTACCGCTTGTCACTATTGTCCAACTCAATTTCCTTTGAAACAGCTGTGCCACTAAATTCCACTTGAAACAGCTGTGCCACTCAATTCCACTTGAAACAGATGTGCCACTCAATTTCACTTGAAACAGATGTGACATTCAAGTCCACCTGTCACAGCTGTGACACTCAACTTCACTTGTCACAGATGCTACAGTCAACTTCCCTTGTCACAGATGCCACACTCAGTTTCAGTTGTTAATTTTGTAACACAAAATTCTACTTGTTAATGATTTTGTCACTTGTCAGTATTATTCTTTCTAAACTCCTTTTCTAAACATTACTTTTTCAAAGCAGCATCCCTTTTTTGATACAATGAATAAAAGTAAAATTGCTGGTATTGAACTGGGTCAAGAGCTCACTGTCTTCAGTATTTTAGACTTGTTAAAAATAATGTCAAGTCTTAGAGCTCAGCGATGACAGAATTTAATTGATTAACAACGCAATATACAATGTATATATATGTATGTATAATATTAGAACGTTTCATTTGTCATGAAAACAAACATTCTTTAATAGTGTGGACTGAACTGTCTCAATTACAGTTCACTTGAGTTAAGAGCACACTTTAAACAAAATACTAACACAATTCGGTTGAGTGAGGAACAGACTTTAAAAGAAATTGAAATACTATCTTTCAAATAATAATTGTAAGTATTTCGAAACTAATGCTAGAAATTGGAAAATAATTTCGGCGTAATATATAAAGACTGGTGTGATTATCGCTTTGTAACAACTTTCTCCTGTTTTTCCTTTAAACGGCTTCATGATTGTTCCACAATCCGTTTTTGTCGCGCTAAAACTGACATATCTTGCTCAAGCGTCTTTGAAACAATAACTGTCGCAGGAGTGTCAAAAAATTGCGAAGTACAAATTTGAGTCCACGTTTTGTAATTGAAGTTATTTTCGTATCCGATATGCTGCCTGGTTAAGATTTGTTTCTTTGTTTATTGTCTCTATGATGTTTGTGTGCCACGTTGTTATTATACACATTAAAATAATTGTGGTGTTCACTAATTGTACAATTGGTGGCAATTCGGTTGTTAGTGTAAAACTGGAAAATTACTAGCAGCGATACAATTATAATTTCTCCGATCAGTACGATATGATATAATGATTGAATAAATGAATCTAGAATTGACACCACTGCTTCATACCGTCATTCAGTAGACAACGAAGAGTCGACATAATTGTTGCAACATGATTAAAACTCCGACTGTTTTCTACCTCAGTGTTGAACATCTTCCAGAACATCTACTCGCTTTCCGTTGGATTAGTATTTAGTGCGATATCATCATCACAAATAAGCAGGTCCTTTGCAGAACGTCGCTCTCATCACGGTCTGCATGAAAGAAACTCGGTCTCTCGCCAGCTCTCCCGCCTCATGTACTTTCATACTCAAGGAGTCACCTAAATCCTGTGCCCATCTTTGTGTTGATCGGCCCCTGCCCCTCCTTGCAGGAGCCATGCCTTCTGTTATAATTTTTTTTTTTCAATCCGTTGTGGCGCTTGATATGACCAAAATATTTCGGCTTCCGAGACAGGATGACTTTTATTAACCAATCTTTTTTGATGTTCAGATCTTTCAAGATGTCAGAATCGGTCTATCCTCTCATTGAACTGTTGTGTAGAGCAAGCGAAGGGTTGACGCCATAGACCCTAATCATAATCTCTAGCGTGCATACAGTTTATGATTATGTTTGGCTGGACGAAGAGCTTCTTCTTTTCCTTTTTTTCTCCTTAAAATGACTGTTGACGCGTCGTATTGTAGT